TTCTGCACAACTCCAACACAACTGCTACCTAAGCTTCGTGACGGTGACTACCTATTACGACTCCCTGAACTATTATCACAGCAATTCAATGTCGTGACCGGGTTTGCGATATCATTCCCTCCCATACACCAACCACCAACCCAATTTCACTCGCGTTTTCATTCTTTCGTCGCACTGGGTGACGGCGGTATTCCATTTTGAGTGGCACGAAGAGGAAAAACGCAGCAAACTATCTCGAACAGAACATCTTGTCCCCAATATCATCCCAGAACGTGTAGGTTACTCTGCTCTTCTATATTTTCAGCTTTTGTTAAACCCGTTTTTGTTAAACCCGTTTAGTTTCGTTATCTCCCACCTTTGACTCTCTTCTTGTTGCATACCTTTTTTTTGTGATTATTTCTCTGGCGCTCCTGCGCAACAAATTTGGATCCCGCCACTTTTGTAACTCTGCCCTTTTCCATCCACATTGATTTTGACAATCTGCTCTCAACGCCCTTTGCGTTTTGATATACTTGCAGTCCTCGCGCGTTTTATTTGTTCCCGCTTTCCGCTCCCAAGACTTGCTTGTGACAAGAATTATTTCTTGGCAGCCATGTCCTCCCGCGAAAACCAAGACTCTTCCGCCCCGATGGACCAACAGCAGCAGCAGCATCAGCAACCACAGCAGTCCCAGCAATCTCCGCACGAACAGTCTCAACACCTACCGCAGCAACAGCAACAACAACAACAACAACCTCAGCAGGCTCCACAGCAAGGCTCGCCTCAACAGCAACAGCCGGCGCCATCACAGCAGGTTCAGCTCTCGCCTGCCCAGCCTTCTCATCCTCCGCCACTTAACTCGCCCTCAGCTGTTCAGCAGGCTGTTGCGGCTGCTGCTGCGGCCTCAGTTGTTAATCCAGTACCCCTTCCACAAAACCTGAGCCGTGGGCCAAGTCAAAGCACTGCTGAGAACTTAGTGTGCCAATGGCAGGGTTGCCAAGACCGGCTTCCCACTGCTGAAGCCCTCTATGTGAGTGTTGTCTCCTGTTGCCGCGGCGCTATGATCCACGTGATATATACATGCTCTTGGATGTTCTTTATTTGTGTGACTATCTTTGCTTGTTTTTAAGTTGTGCCATGGTGGTGAAAATTATCTCCTGTCTAGCGCTAATGTATCATATCATTTAGGAGCACGTCTGTGAACGCCATGTTGGCCGTAAGAGCACCAACAACTTGAATCTAACTTGTGGATGGGCGAATTGCCGGACAACTACTGTCAAGCGAGACCATATTACTTCGCACATTCGAGTACATGTTCCCCTGAAGCCTCACAAGTGTGATTTCTGCGGCAAGGCGTTCAAGCGTCCACAGGATTTGAAGAAACATGTAAAGACCCACGCGGACGATTCGGTCCTCGTAAGATCCCCAGAACCTGGCCCTGGATCCAGGCCCCCAAATGGGATGTTTGGTGTTGGCGTTGGTGCCGACGGAAAATGTAAGTCTACTACTTTCATTTTTATCACGCCTTCACTCTTATTTTTGTGGCCATTTATTATTCTTTACGGTGCTAATGTGAACCCTTTGATGCCAGCCCATTATTTCGAAGGTGCATTAGGACCTGTCCCCGGACAAGGGTATCCGCATGGAGCTCCACAATATTATCAAAATCCCCACCCACAACACCCTTCCAATCAATCTTATGGAAACGTGTACTACGCTGTTGGCAGCGATACGTCGCATCAGGCCTCTTATGAGTCGAAGAAACGCGGATACGATGCTTTGAATGAGTTTTTCGGTGACTTGAAACGCCGTCAGTTCGACCCCAGCTCCTACGCAGCGGTTGGGCAGCGACTATTAAATTTGCATGGCCTGCCCCTTCCCCTGGTTAACGGCGGTGCTGTTCCCGAGTACCAACCAATGCCAGCCATCGTTAATGTCGGCGGTCATGGCGGCGGTTACCAGCCTGGCCCAATGCCCGCACAATCCTACCACCTCCCTCCAATGGGCAACCTTCGCACCAAGGCTGACTTGATGAACATTGACCAGTTCCTGGAACAGATGCAGTCGACCGTTTACGAGAATGATGACCACGTTGCCGCTGCGGGAGTCGCCCAGCCAGGCGCCCATTACATCCACGGCGGGATGAGTTACCGCAATACTGGCTCGTCCCCATCTGCGACTCATATCCCGTCTAGCCACGCATCAGCGACCACCACTGCTCCCATGATGGTCTCTTCAACTACCGCCCGTTCTCCTCATACCACACCTGCACTCACCCCTCCTTCCAGTGCCCAGTCTTACACGTCTGGTCGATCCCCCATTTCAGTCTCTTCGACGCACCATTCTGTTCCGCCTTCGCACCATCCTCAATCAAGCGCCGCCATGTATCCAACGCTTCCGGCCACAACAGCCCAGGAAAACCCCACCACCCCCTATCCAAGTATTTCAAGTGCAGCGCCGCCGTCGACTCTCAGCAGCGTATTTGAAAACGATGACCGTCGCAGATATACAGGCGGCATGCTCCAACGATCGCAACCACACAGCGCACCCGAATCATCACAAATGTACCCCCTCCCATCATCATCTAATGCCGAGACTACTAAATTATCTACCAATGTCATCGACCCAGCCCTCCGACCAACAACAAGAACAGGAATATCGGTAGACACTGAGCGTGATAGCGACAAACGCTCGTCTAGTACAACCCCAGACGCTGAGGAAGCATCCCGCGCTGTAGCCGCGGCCATTACGGCTGCAAATGCAACGGGCAGCAATGAAACCCACGACTCGGTTGAACAGTGGGTTGCCAATGTGCGCCTCCTGGAGAAACTACGTTTGTATATTTATGAACGACTCAGCCGTGGTGATTATGAGGAGGAGAATTATACTGATTCTACTGATGTGCCCTCGAGTGAGATCGACAACCACAACAAGGATAGCCCTGACGTTAGTGAGAGGATGGAAGGTATTGAACTTGGAGACCGAGCGTCATCGTCGGGCGCAGCTTCTGGCTCGGATATGAATATCGATAGGCAAGGATCTGAGGAGCGACAAAAGCAGCAACAGGGAGGTAACTCCCCGCATGATAATATAAAGTCAGATCCGCGGGAGGCACGGGATGGGGCAAGTCTGTATCCAGTTCTAAAGATGGATTTTGAGGAGACTTGATTTTCTCATTGAAATTAACTTTTGTGATCTCACCTTCCCCGTTTCGTTGCGTTGCGTTTCTTTCTTTTCTTTTTTTTTTTTTAAAAAAAAAAAAAAAAATTAAATTATTTTTACGGTTTTCTCGCTTGATACTTGATATTATACACCAATTCCTATTGTGTGTCTTTTCTCTTTGTCTTTTTTCTCTTTTTCTCTTTCTTCTTTCTTTTTCTCTTATTACTCCCTTATGTCGCATTTTTCTATTATTCCAATGTTACGTGATTCTTTACGAGCAGGCTAGTCTGCGGGTCGAATTTGAAACTTGAGTCTTGTGCCACGATGATATTTGTTCCCTCTTATGTTACTTCATTTTCATTCTATCTCTCTCATCTTCGAAATGTATATCTCACTGAGTTGCTCAGTTTCTTAGTATTACTGACCTAACCTAACCAAATCTAACTCACCACTCTTAGTTCTACTCCTTTTTTTTAACCTTTGTCGGGGTACTTTTCCTTATTTATCTTCCAGTGAGGAACCATGGATGTAGTCCTTTTCTTTTCTTTCGTCTCAGTTCAGGATGAATGATTTATATTATCATTATGATTATGACGAGTGTTTATGCTTTCTTTGGTTTCATTGGTCTCAAATTTATTCTGTACTTTTTAGGCTCTTCAATTTTATCGTTCCTTTTTATATATATACAATATACATATATTTAAACCCGACCTTTTGTTTCTAACAAAAAGAAGAAAAGCAATGAAAACAGAGCTCTATGGGAATTGTCGATGATGGTGATGATGATGATGTTGTGATGACGCCAAGATCAAGCTCACACAAAGCATGCCGGGCGTGAGCATATTTGGACAAGCTTTTTTCGTTCTTTTGTTCTTGCATTTCCAGAGGTCGGGGAGAGAGTCGGTTTGTTGGCAAGCCGCAACTCAAAATCATCATACTTTCGGCAGGGGAGAGAATTGGTTATTTTGCTCCTCTCTGTATGGAACCCAGCAAAGCGCCGTGTCCACCCGAGCAGTGGGCAGGAAGAAAGAGCCCTTCCCTCCCTCCCTCCCTCCCTCCCTGTTCCGCGCAAGCTGGGAGGAAATAATAGCCTGTCCGGGGAGGGGCCCGCAGTTAGCCCATCTTAAGTATGTAGCTAGCCACCGCGAATACAGATTAGATGTGCACCTGGGAAATTCACCCATGCCGAGTTTGGCTAACGGGCTCCCCGCGGATTATCCAGCCAGGCACTTGGATATCTACTGTACAAAGGAGAGCCTGAGACAACAGAAAAGGGATCGAGGAGAGGATTTTTTTAGTTTTTTAAGTCATGCCTATTGTGGAATGTAGGCGTAACAAATTTAGATTCAGTGAGAAAGCTTGGAGAGGGTAATAGATCAGTGTGGTGTTGCTTCAATGACCCTTTTCATTCAATGCAAAACGTTCCCGTTATTCTTTTGCTTTTTATCGGTCCCTTTACCTAGGGATCTTATTGCATTTGCCCTGGACCGGGCTGTCGTTCGACTTATATACATTACATAGCTTCATAGCTTGCCCATGGGCCACCGGTTAATCCCCACAGAATAAAAGAAAAAAATATTGGCCTAGTCTAAATAGGCAAGCCAAAACAAAGTATATAGATCACCAAGACCATTTTCGGGTAATGTTGTTTATTTAAACTTTGGGGATATTTCGCGAAAGGGGGAGTTTGAAATAGGGTTTTACATTTTTTTCCCTCCAAAGAACTGGAAAAGAAATGAGCGAGAAAGGAAGCGAAGAGAAGGGGGAGAGCGGGGAGGAAGAGAGAGAGGCTCCAAGGAGAATTGAAAAAGCTATACCTATCATTATATCATCACTGTGCGAAGGTAGTAGTTCAATCGATGGAAACGAGCCTGTAGCCACCCAGAAGCAACAACCGCGGGTGTTTGTCTCATGGAGATCATTTATTTACTGGCGCGTCATTCTCGCGGCAAACAGCCTTCCAACCTCCACCGCAGAGCCTCCTCCTCCACCACCGTCGACTCCCAAACATCATCCCGCCTTCACGTCACCTCTATCGCATCGCAAAGGGACGCCAATTGACACCACCCACCAACCAGCTTCAAAGGGGACTCGTGCAGATTCCTGTTTGCGAACGTTTTATTTACGACTTCACTCTCCTGGAACCAAGGTTTCGCCTGGCGGTTATAATTCGGGTCACCCGAGAAATTCCAAGACTCCATTTTTTTTATTTTTTTATTTTTTATCTTTTTGGGTTTTCGCCTGACCTTTGCGCACCAAGTGGTGGCAACAAACAAACTTCCCGGATTTCAAGCAGCGTATCAAACATTTTCCATTCATGTATCTTATCTCCTCGTCATTTTCCCCTGCTCTTCCCATTCAATCTATCTACGCTCCCGTATAAGCTGCGAGCAGCCCAACGCGAAAAGAAAGGGCCTCTCCTCACTATCGCCAGCAAGATACAGAACCATCCACAAATCGCTTTTTTCGGCCTTATCGCGCAAAAACGTACCCAGATCTCGAACACCCACTCTCGAATTTTGCCCGTTTTTTCCAACCGTTTTCTCACGCTATTCTGATCGACAAACCACCCCCTCCCCGGGTCGCCGATAACGTGGCGCGCACTTGCCTCACAGCACAGTGTGTACCGCCTGGGTTCGCGATACTGTGGATTTTGACTGCGGAAAACAATTTCTTGATATCCGGCTGCTAGAAAACAAAATATGGCGCCGTCAACGAAGCGTCGTACCCGGCGCAAAGACGTTGGATTGCAGGAAACTCCAGAAACAGATCTGTTGGATTCCTCGCCCACTTGTCGAACTGCGAAGAAACGCAAGGTATTTTCTTCCTTATCATCAGTGCCATTCGGCTTGGTTGCACCATTCTCTGCCGCTGGTAGTTTATTTATTCACGGACCAACGTTCGCTAATTTCTGGTCCCTTTCTTGCCTACGTTTTAGATTGACCATCCCCGCTCGCTGTCGCTGCCGCTAGAGAAGACTCCAGAACCCGTTTCTGCTGATGAATCGGACGACTCCAGCACCGGAAATGATATTGCAACCAACAAGGACCTGGTGGATTCCGTGATAGCTTGTCTTGATGTCTCGGATGACCCGGTGGCTGTCATGGACGAGTACTCGAATATCAAGAATGAACGCGAGAACCCAGAAAGTGTGAAGGCCTACGCTAAGATCGCAGGCCGTGACTGGACTTACTACATGAAAGGTCTACATATCAACATCGGGCGTCCTCCGGACCGGGATCAAAGGATATATGCTCAGTCGAGCCCCCTCGTCGCTGCCGCCCAGGCGATGCCGGAGGTGCATATCGATTTGGGTCCGAACAAATTTGTCTCGAGATTACATGCAGAGATTCTGTTCAACAGCCAGGAGCCTACTGGTTGGCATATTCGCGTCAATGGACGCAATGGGATTCGATTGAACACCCAAATAGTAAAGCGAGGAACCATCTCACGGATTACGTGCGGTGATGTCATCGAGATCGCAGGCACACAGATGATGTTCGTAACCCCGGACGTACGTGCCGTTATCCATCCCTTCTTCGTGGATAAATGCCAGCGCTTGGCTGCGGGGGATGATGCTGCCAGCTGGGACGAGTCTCAACATGCGCACCCAGACCAGGTCCGCAGCAAGGCCAGCCGGACGGCCGCCTATTTCGACCAAGATCATCGCCACAATCCAGGCACTGGAAATGGCACAGAGCCCACTCCAGCAACGAAGGCGGCTTCGTCTTACCACAAGGATCGGCAAATTACACCACCACCTCGTCCCCGATCGCCAAACACAGCTGATGCCCCCCCTCCCAAACCATCCCCGCTCTACAATCGCGGCATGATGATGGAGAGCACAGAAGATATTGATTATAGCAACGATTCGGCGAAGGATCTAAAGCCGCCATATAGCTATGCTACGATGATCGCACAAGCCATTTTCTCGACAGAAGAGGAAAAGTTAACATTAAGCAAAATTTACGCTTATATTACTGAAAAGTATGCATTTTATCGGCATACAAACTCGGGATGGCAGGTTCGTCAACCCCTAATTTTCATAGTCAATAATAAAGAAGTTTTTATTTTTATGTCATTTTTGACATCTGTTGCTAACAGCAATTTGCAGAACTCTATCCGCCATAACCTTTCTTTGAATAAGGCATTTCAAAAAGTCCCCCGCCGCACTGACGAGCCTGGCAAGGGCATGAAATGGCAAATTGCCCCCGAATTCCGACAAGAATACTGGAACAAACAAACCCGGAGGAGTAATAACCAACAGTCATCAGCACCCTCCTCACCTGTCGGCAAGGAAAGCAAAGGCGGCTCCCGTTCTGCGAATGGCCAAACAGGCTACGATAAAAGTTTCGAAAGCTCGTTCCCCACAAGCAACCCATCGCCACAGATGACGTCGCCCGGATTTAACTCATTCTCCGTTGCCCCCGTTGAAGCTTATACCCCGGAGCGCAAGACTCGTAGCGACCGTGACGCCAACGGCCGTAGCAACGCAGACTATGGCGACCAACAGTCCCCCTTACCCAATCATCCACGTAGCAACAATCCCAATCGCGCATACGGCCTCTCAGATCACATCAGCGGCTCGCCGCCTGTATTATCATCATCCTTCTTCGACGATGCAACGTCGATGATCACGCCTGCTCCGCGCCGCCACCAGCCCCTCCTCGCCCCGCCCAGCACGGGCGCAAATCCCGTCGAAATTCATGCCAATGAGCTCACCTGCACAGTTCTGGAAGTTCGCGGAGCTCGGCAATACCCCCGTCCGCGTGTCGGATATGAGCCCGTTGCATGGTGGTGGCTACGGCCAAGGTCGAGCTGGCGGTGGCATGGGGGGAGGTGCTGGAGGGGGAAGATCAGGCAGGGGATCTGCAGATGGACTGAATGCTATCCCTAGCAGTAGTCCGCCGCCGCCGAATCTGGGCAGCCCGAGTAAACCGGGTAGTGGGCCCGGGTTAGGGGGTCGGCCACTTGGTTCGAGACTTGCGGATAGTAAGTCGAATGGTGTCGATGGGCGGCTGCCTCGAGCGGCTAATAGTCGCCGTCATTCTGGCGGTGATAACCGTGATGAGGATGATGACGACGATGAGGATGAAATTGGGGAGTTTGACCTTGCTCGGTAGGTTCTTTTTCTTCCCCTCCCTCTCCCCCCCCCCTTGTATTCCTTCGTTTTCCTCTCTCTTCACTTCCTTTTCCCTGGAGTCTTCTCCTTCCGTAGCAAACGTCTCAAGGACTAACAAGTTTTCTTCTTTTTCCCTTTTCTTGCGACTAGGGGTTTCCAACCGATTGGCAGCTACCATCGGCAAATAAATGCAACAAAAGCCAGCGCAAGCGCATCGACTTCTTAGAGAATTCCCGACCTGCTATTAGAACGTTTGGAAGCGAAAAATAATAATTATTATTATAAACATGACATCGAGCCATGAGAGGTGAGACTGAGATGGGGATCACAGTGGTCGCAAGAACAAGAAGATGAAAAGAAAGAAAGGGAAACAAATCACAAAAGAAGTAGCAGGTTTTGTTTTTCCCTTCATAGGAAATCTAATCTCCGCTGTTGTGTTTCCAAGCCGCCCAAATACCACAACCAAGCCTCTCATACGAACACATCTGCGCCGCCTTCCACACGCCACTCTTTTCGCTGTATGCCATTCGGACCCATAACCACTACCACTACCACCACCATCATCATTATCATTACCATTATTATTATATCTGCTGAAGCCTCTCCCTTGTATCAGTATCGATGGAACGTCTGCGCTAGCAACTATTTATTTTTATATCTATCTACCTCTATCTATTTTTCACCCTTTCTCCTCTTCTCCATACTATTTTTTCTTCTTCTTCTTTTCGTTCATTTCCCATCCCTTCCGTATCCCTTGATACAAAAATTAATATGTTGAACAACGCGATAACGAAATGATTCGATCAATGATGTGGTTTATATTTTTTGGTGTTTCTACTCAAGTTCCTCTTCTTTGATTATTATTATTATTACAATTATTAGTTTTTTTTTCTTCTTTTACACTTTCCCTTCTCCAAATAATTTCAAAAACCGGGCTTTGATAGTTTGCTTGTCGCTTTTAGAGAGCTTGAATGGAAGGATCAAGATTTTTTTTTTCCTTTTAACTTCTTGCTCTTGACTTCGGACTGCGATCGAATCGCAGTGGGACTGAGATATTATATGTTGTTTTATTTTTATTTTTATTTTTTGATTGTTCCGCTATAATTGTTGCTGATATGATGATGTTCTCCCCCCCCCCCCCCCCTCCTCATTATCCAGTCATTTTTGTTCTATTTGGTGTTTTTCTCATTTTGTTTGATATGGTTTTTTTTTCGTTGTTCGTATCTTTGCCAGACTGGGGTTTCTAGGCAGGTGTGGTGTGGGTATGGGTTGTAATACTCATTAGTTCTTTTCCATTTGATTCTTCAACGACGAAGTTATTTTTTTTTTTCCTTCTCTGGGATGTGGTTGAAGTTTCGTCCATCCCTTCCTCCCCTTCCCCCCGGGGGTTTCCTGGTCCGTCTCCTTATTTGCTTCCAGGTTTTTCTTTTCTCGTTTCTCTCTTGGTGGGATTTGAAGCGCAAAAGGTGTTTATTTGCTTTTGCTGAAAGGAGGGTATATGTCTCTATTATTGAATCTGTTTAGTCTTTCTTGTTCGGTGATGTACTACGGCCTGCTTGGTGAGGTGATGAAGGACAAGGAAAGATTTATTCTTATTACCTGCCTCGTTTGCCTCTCTCACAGGGCTGTTGACTTTCATTCTTATTATTCAACGATTAGTTATTGCTTTGAAGTGTCGTCGGATGAGTAGTAGTTACTTATTCTTTCCTTGCTAAACCACCATTACTAGCGTTACCTACATATAATGGATACATTGTTATTGCGCGTTGCATAGTAAGTAATCCGGTGTGTGACAGGTCTGAGTTTGGCAGGGCAAGGATATGGGAACACTTTTGAATAAATAGCCAGAGTTGATCAATTCGAATAAAATCGTCCGGATATCTTTTGGCGAAAAGCCGAGTGGCTGACATCGGGCTTGGCTTAACGTAATCAACCACCTAACGCTCGTTTCCACCCAAGAAT